AGGATAAGTGTGTGAGTCTTGTAATCATCGTTCTATAGTGGATTTGTGTTGGACTAAGGAGTCCCGTGGATTTTTCCCAGAGGTGGGGTTTTACCACGTAAAATAATTCTCTGCGTGTTCTTTTATTTTATGTTCAACACGTTTCAGGATTGATAAGCCATATCAATCTTGCTACCGAAATTTATTTTTTCTTATTTGATTATAATCTTAAATTGGCCTATTCACCCTCCTCTAGGCATTATTAGTCATCCTACAGGTATTTTCATACTGGTTGCTCAATACCTAAGAACTCAATGTCAAATGTTGATTTGTCTTGTTACATTTCTGGTAATGTTAATCATAGCCACATATATAGATGTTTCTAACTTCTTTTTAAACCTTTCTTTCTATTATGTTTTATGTTTTTATATCTATTGACAGTAAGGAGAGAGGGTTCCCAGTATGGCCTTTCCTCTCTCTCTGAATACTTGTCAATCTCCTCACTATATATTAAGTGAGAATGGTATAATATAATGCCGGTTTGATCACTTCTCATTAGTAAACATTATCAGATTAGTATTAGTCAATACGCAATCTTATGCGGTTACATCAATGTGATTATAAGATTATGAGTAAGGGTCATTTTGTCATAACGCGGCCACACAAAACAAAACAGAAAGAGCAAGACACGGGTGCTATAACATAGAAAATTTCAGGTCATCACACTAGATGTTTACCAAGACTTGTTCAATTTAGTATATAAAAATTTCAGGTCTTTTCGTGTGATTTTCTGGCTCTCCGCCAGCTCCAAGCCAATGTTTATTTAGCAAATATACCATATGAGCATCATGCTTGATGAGTCGATTTTATATTATATATTTAACCTCATTCTTAGTATATTTTGGTTAATACTTTCGAAGAATTTTGATACGTTGAATTATATTTCCAATATAGGACTTTCGATTCTCTCTGGAGCAAAACATAATCAAATGAACGAATTTTGGAGTAATTCCAGTTGGAGGACGTACGTGAGTCACTTAGCTTGATCGTATCAAAATATCAGACTTTTCTACCAAACGATGATTTCCTGGCGAATAAATGAAGGAGGAGTGCGCTGTATTGGAATAGTGACCTTTTGGGCTTTTATTGCGTTTTTGGAGCCCAAGATGACCTCAGATGGGTTCTTGGCCTTCTGGAGAAGTGTTTGGAATATTTTTATCTTTAAAACGAGCTATCTTGGGCCA